ATCCTGTCATTTTCAACAACACAGATGAACCTGGAGGATGTTATGCTAAGTAAAATAAACCAGATACAGAGACACAAATCCTGCGTGGTCTCACTTCTATATGGAATCTGAAATAGTCAAACGCATAGAAGCTGAAAGTAGAATGGTGGTTGCTGAAGGCTAGGAAGAGAGGGAAATGGAGAGGTGACAGTCAAGGGGTACAAAGTTCCAGCTATGCAACTTAAGTTCTTAAAGATTTAATGTACAGCCTAGTGCCTGTCATTAACACTACTGTATTATACACCTAAAATTTCCTAAGCATGTAGATCTTATGTTAAGTGTTCTTACCACACACACTCAATAATGATAATAAAGGGAGGTAGGCCAGGTATAGTGCCTCATGCCTGTAATCCCAGCAGTTTGGAAGGCCAAGGCGAGAGGATCACTTGAGCCCAGGGGTTCAAGGCCAGCCTGGGCACCATGGCAAAACCCATCTCTAAAACAAAAAAAAGAAAAAAAAGCCAGGATTGGGGGGTCCATGCCTGTAGTCCCAGGTACTTGGGAGGCCGAGGTGGGAGGATCAATTGAGCCCAGGAAGTTGAGGCTGAAATAAGCTGTGATTGTGCCACTGCACTCCAGCCTGGGTGACAAAAAAAAGACCCTGTCTGTAGATGGATGGCTGGCTGGATGGAGGGATGGATAGATAGATAAATAAATAAATAAAGGGAATGGGAGAATCTTTGGAAGGTGACGGATATATTCATGGCTTTGATAGTGGTGATGGTTTCAAGGCTGTGTATAAGTATCCCATCAAGTTGTATGTATCAATATGTACAGCTTTTTACATGTTAATCATAGCTCCATAAGGTGTTTTTTTAAAAGACAAATTACTCAATTTTTTTTTTTAGGGGTAAAGACTATAAATGGGTAATTCACAAAAGAGGTGCGAAAAAGGACTTGTAAAACGTATTACAAAAAAAAATATGTTCTACCATACCAAGTCTTAAGGGAAATACAAATTAAGCAAAACTTGTCACCCATCAAAAGGGCAGCAATTTAAAAGTCTGATAGGCACTAGCAGGCCTGTAAGGGTGCTGCTCCCAGAGGATGCTGGTGCCCCATGTATCAGGACAGCTGCACTTTGGAAGCCCTTAGAGCTAGAAATGTGCACACCATGCAACCCAGCAATTTCCCTTCTGTCTTATCTACCCTCGAGAAATGTATACGTGCACAAAGAAAGCATCTCTGAAGCAGCATTGGAAATAGCAGAAGCCTAAATGCCCATCAATATCAAAATGCCTCAGTAGATTGAAGCAGTTCACAGCATGGAGTTTTATACAAAAATGTTTAAAAAGTGACTTGGATCTGTGTGCATGCAAATAGATCTTTAAGAGGTATGGTTGAATGAAAAAAATAATTTACAGAGCAGTGTATGTGTAAAAAAAACAACCAAACTCATCAATAACAATTTGCATGCCTTGGCCAGGTGTGATGGCTTATGCCTGTAATCTCAGGTATTTGGGTGGCCAGGGTGGGCAGACCTCTTGAGGCCAGGAGTTTGAGACCAGGCAGGCTAACATGATGGAACCCTGTCTCTAGTAAAAATACAAAAATTAGCTGGGCATGGTGGCATGCACCGGTAGTCTCAGCTACTCTGGAGAATGAGGCAGGAGAATCACTTGAACTTGGGAGGCGGAGGCGGAGGCTGTAGTGAGCTGAGATCATGCCATTGCACTCCAGCCTGGGCAACAGAGCAAGACTCCTTTAAAAAAACAAACAAAAATGTACACCATCGTTTTAATGAAGTCAATATATGTTGCAAAAACAGGAAACATTTCTGAAAAAAATTTACAGTCAGTGCTTCAGTCTTACCTATTGGGGAATTGAAGAGGGTAGACATGGATTTTTAGGGGTCCAAGGAGGCTTTAGGGTTCTCTGCAATGTTACAGGGTTTTTTTGGAGGCAAATGGGTTATGGGACCCATGTAAAACAGAGGTTAGTTTTTGAAAGCGGCCTGGCTGGGGAAGGAGACTGCATCTAGGGCTCTGGGCATAATGCAAAGTGAAAAGCTGAGAGAATGACTGGGAAGGAATGCTAGTGAAAGGTTCTTTAAACAAACACCCTCTGGGCTCGCCCTGGGAGAAAGAGAGGAGAATGAGAAAGCCAGAAAACCTGGAGCAGCAGGCGGGGAAGGGGAAAAGCCAGATTGGGGCAGGGCATTGGGGATTGCCTTGTCCTTAGTGTGCTTGACTTTTCAGCCGGCTGGGAACACACAGAAATGCATTTCCTGATGCTTAAGTTTCCAGCTGGGACAACAGAGGTTCTTCCCACAACCCCTCCTCCTCCCTTAAACTGAAGATCTGTTTACCCTGCTGCTCAGACAGGAAGTCTTGATTATTTTTGCATGGGGACCTAGAAAGAAAAATCAGTGGTCCTTCCGCTGACTGCACTGAAGGCACCATCCGGAGGAAGTAGAGGGTGGTCCTGGGCATGCCTGCTCTGCCCAGGGCTGTTACAGCAGGGCAGGTCTGCCCCTTCCCATGGAAGCTGAGGGTCCTCAGGCTTACAGGGTGGATCTGCGATTGCAGCCGCCTGGCCAAGCCTCAGCCCTGGGCTCAACACCCCTACCCAGAGCTCCACCTGTGCAAGATAACAGAGTGAAAGCAAACCTGTCTCCAAGGCTCCATGGCATGTGGGCTCTGGAGTCTGATCTGACTTCACATCCCAGCTCAGCCCTGAAGCTAGCATGTGTATCTCTGCGCAACCTCAAATTTGCCATTGCAATTGCTGGGAACTAAGCAAAACAATGTGTATTGTAGAGCTCTCAGTCGATGCATGGCACTCAGTGAGTGGTGGTGCCAGTTAGTGATAATGATGCTAATAAAATACATCTCCTCCTGTATTTTCAAGGCCTTTATCAGAACAGCAAACCAGCCAGCGTGGTGGCTCACACCTGTAATCCCAGAGCTTTGGGAGGTCCAGGCGGGAGGATCGCTTGAGGCCAGGAGTTCCAGACCTGCCTGGGCAACATAGTAGGATCCTGTCTTAACCAAAAATTTAAAAAATTAGCTAGGGTTGGTGATGTGCATCTGTAGTCCTAGCAGCTTAGGAGGCTGAAGTGGGACGATCTCTTGAGCCCAGGAGTTGGAGGCTGCAGCCAGCTGTGATTGTACCACTACATTCCAGCCTGGGTGCCACAGTGAGACCTCATCTCCGAGAGAGAGAGAGAGAGAGAGAGAGAGAGACAGACAGAACAGCAAATCATTGCATAATATAAATGTGGTTTCCAATGGTATTTAAACAAAATAATTTACCTTTAGCGTGATGTGTGAGAAAAGCTCTAATTTAATTCAGTAACTCTCCCCCCCCCCAGGTTTGTTAAAGTTTTATTGTTAATGTTTCCTAAATCTTTGTGAAGGTTTAGGAGGGAGATTCCAATGAACTTGGCTTGCCAGTGGCCAGTGAATAAGTTGTTTCTAGGAGGCAGAGGCAGAAGGAAAGCTTGAGCCCAGGAGTTTGAGACCCACCTGGGCAATATAGCAAGACCCCATTCTCAAAAAAAAAAGAAAAGAAAAAGAAAGAAAAAAAAGGAGTTGTCTCCTCCTCCCTGACAGGGAGGTGTTGAGAGACGTATCTCTTCCACAGTCGTGTTAGCTGGTCCAGGCTGGAGCCTGATGAGGCTGATGATGGGGTGGGGAGATGATGGGCATCTCCTCCCCGGGGCAAGGCCAGGACCAGGATGATGGCATTGAAGCACTTGCCTGGGGGCAGCATTTAAGGAGGTGCCCAATAATCCAGTAATAAGATAGATAATACTTTAATGCAACATTTTAAAAATAAAAACCAATGCAAAAAAAAAAAAAACAAAAACATAAGACGAACAAAATTTCCCCGTACTAGACCATACTTCTAGCTGCTCGGGCTAGGACTTCCTGACCCTGCCAGTTCTTAGGTTTCTAACATTACCTTTCCTGGGTTCTCTAGGGCCGGCCTCTGTCTGCCTAGGTCTACAGGAAGGGATATGGGAGGCAGGTTCTGTGGGGATGAGCTGGGAAACCTGTCCATTTTTTGTTGTTGTTGTTTTTGAGATGGAATCTCACTCTGTTACCCAGGCTGGAGTTCAGTGGCACGATCTCGGCTCACTGCAACCTCCATCTCCCAGGCTCAAGCAATTCTCCTGCCTCAGCCTCCTGAGTAGCTGGGATTACAGGCACACACAACCATGCCCGGCTAATTATTTTATATTTTTAGTAGAGACGGGGTTTCACCATCTTGGCCAGGCTGGTTTCAAGCTCCTGACCTCAAATGATCCGCCTGCCTCAGCCTCCCAAAGTGCTGGGATTACAGATGTGAGCCACTGCACCCAGCCCTTGGAAAGCTTTCTGGACACAATCTTGTGTGTGTGTGTGTGTGTGTGTGTTTAATTTTTTTTTATAACCTTTTTGAGACAGTAAGAGACTCAAACAAAAGAAAGCATAGAAACAAGGGCCAGGAACACGACACTGTCTAGTAGAATAAGCAGATTTGAAAACTGTTTTGGAAAAAGCTTTCTACTTTTCATTGTCTGATCTTTCAGAAAATACCCAAGGGTTTGCAAAATGAAGAAGAATTTTTTCATTTTTAAGCACTTTCACCTTCACCAAACAATGCGGCTGTCACACGTACTGGGCCAAAGGCAGACACTATCTTCCCCTCCAGGATCTGAGCGTTTTGTTCACCTGGCTTGTGAGCTCAGTGGATATGGTTTCAGGCACACCCCTTCCCAATCTGAGGCTCGTCCCTCCATCCCTGGTCAGTGGGGCTGGAGGCCCAGTCCCCAGGGATAGTTCCCCACCGGGAGGGAACAAGAAATGACAGCAATTTACCTATGAGGTATTCTCTTATGAGACAAAACATTCATTGGTTGGACCCCCTCCAGAAGAAATGGGATTGGGGAAAGGGAAAAAAAACCCAACAACAACCAACCCGTCTATTTCTGGAAGTTGCAAGTTGTGTGATGAAACCATGTTTGTTGCAATACAATGTATTCAAATCCAACGGAATGAAGGATAACTATATAGCTATAGGCAAATATCCTGCCATTCTTTTTCATATTTCAAAAAAAAATTAATTTGGAAATATTTTGAAACAAGATAAACTGTTTGTGGCCAATTATTTAAGGTATGGGTGCAAACACACTGCTGGGAGGTCCCCGGATCTATCAAGGATGGGTGGGGCTGGGTCAGGTGAGGCAGAGGACACCCAGGGAGAAGAGGGACCCCACTTCCAAAAGAGACAGTAGCAGAGGCTTGAAGGTAGGGTTTATTTCAAGTTTTCAGGTGAACAGTGCTTTTAAAAAATGAATTCTATAATTTGTTATATTAATAATATCCTTTAAATTATCACAGAAAAATGCCATATGAGTGCACGATAAGATAGAAATCCTTTTTGTCCTTCTCTTTTTCCTGTGGACTTCATTTCAGAATCACTAAATTTCGTAGCACCTTGGTTTTTTGTTGTTTTGCCAAAAAGAAACTTTTCTGCTCAATAGTATATTAATGCAGAATAGAAATAAAGATGCTTTAAAAAATTCTTTCATGCACAAAAGGAGATGGTTTTCAACAGATAATTTTACATATTTACATATTTTACCTTAAGCATTTTGTAGTCTCTGCCTACTGGTGAATGGATCAGATTTTTACACGCTTTCAAAATGAACCAGTTTGGCTTCTAAGCCATTGCAAGGACGGAAATGAATTCTAACTTTTTTTTTTTTCACTTCATTTTCGCATCTTCACATTTCCTTATTTCACATGGTTTCAAATAAAATGCCTCCAGCATGATTTTTCCTTTCTCAAGAGCAAAGTGAATGTGACTTTTCGGAGGGGTCACAGGATGCCCGGGAGGCCTGTGGCTGTGGCTGGATGGCTGCCTGCTTTCAGCTTGACTGAAGGGCTTGTCAGAGTTTTCACCTCCTAAGAAATGAGCCCCCGGGCTGGCCAGAAGCAGGAGAAGGCAGCAGCTTGAGCCCCACACTGGTTCTTTCCCACTGACATCAAATCCTGAGGTTTTAAAATTAATCCCACACTAAGACAGTTCTTCATTGTGGTGCCTGTTTGAAATTAGACCAGCAATAAGGACCCTTCTAAGATGCCTCGTTGTTAAGATAGGCCCCTGTTGGAGCTGAACAGCTGCCTGCCAGGAAGGGAGTGGGAAGGGGGAGGTACAGTGCGTGGGTGAGATGCCCCAGCAGCCCGGTCAAGGTGACTGTTTGGCCTGGCCTGGGGTGCCGCCGGGCGGCGCCAGGAAGTGGCTGAGGGCCCAGATGGCTGGGCTGCCTCGGGCTCCTGTGACCCGGAGCCACCGCTGCTTCCCGGATCTGAGCCCGATGATTGTCCCCGGCTGAGAACCGCTCTTCACCTCAGGTCACACGGATTCCTTGAGTTCTAATCAGTGTTTTTGTTAAAGGGAACTGGAGACGTAAAAGGAACTAAAACTGAACATTAGCAGTGAAAATAAATAAATTAAATAAAATAAAGCAAAGAAGGCAGTAATTTCTCCATGGGTGAGAAGCCCCCTGCTCCCCCTGGGGGTACAGGATGGGAGCTGGGCAAGACACTGCTGCCACCCCTGCTACTTTTGCTTGTTTTGCATGAGGAGTTGTGGTTTTGGGGGGGGGGGGTTGTTTGTTTGTTTTTTGTGGTTTTTTTTTGAGACAGGGTCTTGCTCTGTCACCCAGGTTGGAGGGCAGTGGTGTGATCACAGCTCACTGTAGCCTCAACCTCCTGGACCTCCTGGGCTTAAGCCATCCTCCCACCTCAGCTTCCTGAGTAGCTGGGACTACAGGTGCATGTAACCACGCCTGGCTAATTTTTTTTTTATTTTTTGTAGAAACAGGGAGGGTCCCCCCTATGTTTCTTAGGCTGGTCTTGAACCCCTGGGCTCAAGGGATCCTCCAGCCTTGGCCTCCCAAAATGCTGGGATTACAGGCATGAGCCACTGCACCAGGCCTAAATGAAGAGTTTTTGTTCCTCCAGCACTGTGGCTTCCATAGCAGCTGCCACACCTGGAACATGCTGGGAGTCCCATGCAGCTGAGCAGGCCAGCCTGGTTGCTAGAAGCTGCCTTTACTCTCTGCAATGGGGGCAGCTTAGTAGGCTCTTTGATGGACACTGGGCACTGGGCTCCATCCACAGCCTCTGTGTGACCTACGGGCTTTTCACTCAGCAACTAAGAAAACATTTCTCAGGGAGAACAAACATTCGCAGTACATGAATAGTAACTGAGGAGTAGTTAGAGCTTATGTGGTTTGAATGTGACCTTCTTCCCAGACTAGACAGGAATAACAATTTAGT